ACTGGATGATTACAACCTTGTAGCAACTGTTCAGTGTACTAAAATAAAAATGTGGGGTCTGCAAAACTCAAACCACCAAATGTTATTCCTTTGCTACAGACATGGTTAACACACACTGCCAGCCCTCACAGAGAGTCTTCTCACAAAGGGCCAACTCCTATTTATCTTGCTGGTGTGTTTAGTTCCACCTGGGTTATGTGAAGTCAGAATTTACAGTGGGCTGTAATACTTGTACTGATTTGTTTCCTAGTAGTTTTTGACCTGCAGGTCTCAGCGGAAGCATTCACAGGAAACTTGCCCAAAATACGTGAGTCAAAATCAAATAAATACAAAGCGATACCATGTTGCTTATGACTACCCACTGGCACTGACACCTTCAGTGACTGAGGTCACAGTATCCCTAACATCCTAAGGTAAAGAAAAACTGTGAAGCTCAGAGAAAATTTCAGCAAAAGATTTATAAATCTGGTAATTTTTCCTCAATAATATGAAAACTGCTACTTTAGCAATTAGCACAATTATCCCTTCACAATCTCATAAATCCCAACCCTTTATAGATCCTGAATGAGAACCTTCCTTTTCAACAGTTCTTACCACCAAATCAAAAGACATTAAGAATTATACCATTCAGATTAATTCCTTTCAGCCTCAGGGCTAGAAGCTTTCTTCCCTTTTAATTGAAAGGTAAAAATCTCACATAATCCAGTGACTCCAGAGGCTTCAACTATGAGGAAAACTAATTCAGAAAGAAATTTAAATCACAAGAAGTGGCAACACCAACACATTAAGCAATGCTTTTAAATTGAAAGGTACAGATGACTTTCAGACTCTTTCTAAGGCATAAAATTATAAACATTGAAAGGTGTCAAGCCCAAGCCCACAAAGTACTCAGAGAAAATTTCTCTGCTTCATGAAAAAAAAAAACTTCAACAAAGAACACAAGAAGAATAAAACTAGTGAATAATTTATAGCCTTTACATTTTTAATAATAATTTTAATATTAATAATAATAAAAGACCAAACAATGTATCATAGTCCCTACTTTGGTAAAACTCTCACTGAGTTATTTTGTTATTTTGGTGTGGTTTTGGTTCAGCATGGACATTTCATTCTACAACTGATTCTCAAAATAAAGACAGACTAGTGCAAACAACTACATCAAAGTCTGATGTGTCATGTAGCAATGAATATTTCTGTTGGAAATTTACTTGTTTTCTTTTTAAAGCAGTGGCATATCTAGGTCTCTCTGAGATTAGGAACATTAACTATTCTGGGTGTGATTCCTTTGTGACTTCATGGAATTTCTGGGGAATGAAGAATCTTAAGAGCAGTTACAGTCATAATGAACCTGAGGACTGTAAATAAAAATATATATATTAAAAATTAGGCCTGACAAACTTCAGACTGTAGCAAGTGTTGGTGGGGAGGTGGAGACAATCATTGTATTATCTCAAGAAACTCTCACATCTTCCTGGTTAATGTTTTCTGTTATTAAGCACCTCTAACAAAGACAGACTTTCACCTACTTTATATTCATAATGATTCATGCAAATTTTCCTCCTTTTGAGGCAGGGGGTCAAGTGTTTAAGTTCATTCTATAATAAGTAATATCTGCATAGACTTTAGATGTATAATAATGAGGCATATTTTGCAGAGACATTAAAAATCAAGGCCCACAAAAAATGAACTATTTGTGGTTCAATTCACCAGTGGCATATAAAATTCAAAACATGCAGTTTTATTTTTTATTGTGTGGTTCAGTATTAAAAGAAAAGGATTCAATAATTCACACTGTATGTAGACAATGAAGGCATGCACCATGAGAGCTGTGGCTGTGGCAAAGAATCTCAACATAAATTTGCACACTTCTGTTTTTCCAAATATAAGGCTTTCCTGGCAGGCAGTCAATCATGCAGGAATTGCCAAGGATCTGTAGATAGGGCAATTATAATTCTCTGTGCACTGCTGCTAGACCACCTGCACGTTCACATGTGATGGAAGTCAGATTGGAACCCAGCTCTCAGGAGATGAATGCCAACCCACTGCTATTTACTATCAGCCTGGCTTTCATTATCTTTTATTCTAATTAAGAAACACTATTTATAACTACACCTGACAAGCAGCTAAGCATGGTGGAAGCTAGCAGATGTACCTTGTGCAATAAAACTTGGAATTGAGATATTACATTTATTTTGGGGGTGGAGGGACTATGCAAAGCCCATATTTTCATGTATCATGCTTTGCTTTCAGCAACATTGTATTGCAGTTGGAAGTGCATAATGTTTTGTGATGATATGGATAGAGGATGTAAAATTCTGCTTCAGATAACATTTCCAATATTTTTATTGGAAGTATGCCTGTAGTTTTTTCATTAATGAATTCTATTAGATTCATTAAAATAACATTTTACTTGAAAAAATATTGGAAAATAAAAATTTAATGAAGTCAAATGAGTCATCATTTCTCTATCAAAAGTCTCATCAGAAAACGAAAGGAAAAACAGTTCTACCACTTATTTAAAAGAACAGTTTAGACCACTAGCTGCAGTATTACTCCATCTAAACAAAATACAGAAAATTATGAAAGAATATAACAGTTACTCTAGTATGTTTCACTTAATGGAAGCTTCTAGGAATATTTTTAATTCATCTGCTTCTGAGTGGATGATAAACAAATAACCACATGCTGAAGCAATAAAAATAAATTACTCTGCCAACTTTCCTCTGAAGTGTCACCATGCAGGATGGCACGTATTTCAAAACATTAAACTTCATCTCCATTAGGCTCAGGACTGAGTGAATTTTACACGGAAACCAAGCATTTCATATTGGATAAACTAAATAGTGAAAAAATATTTTGATTTCCAGAGGTACACATTTATTTGTTCACTTTACTGGAGCACTGGTGAACAACAAACTCAGCCTTTTCATGGTTTAAAGACAGGATACTCCCTATGGCATCTTCTTTCTCTGGTGATGGTGAACAAAAGTTGAGAATTTAAAACTAATTGCCAATATAAACCATGCTGCACAAACCTATCCCATGCACACTTTTGAAAACATTAGTCATAATTGGATAATTTTCACACCCACAGCAGGGTAAGGCAAAATGCAAATTATTTTAAAACAAAATATGATTTGAGTGCAAAACTGTCTCTCAAGGCTTTCAGAATAATAGGCAGTGGCATGAAGATATGCCTTAAATCAATAGCAGGAAACCAGGCAAGAGAAATAGCTAGTCAGAAGCTCTACAGGGCAGCACAGAAACAAAGTGGGTACTAAAACAAATATTATTTTTCATATTTTCCCAGCAATTATGCTCCTCATCCAGAATCCCTAGGAAGAGACTGGGGTTTGTGTTATACTTTCAGCACTGGCATGTAAGAGTTTTGATTCCCCGACCTCTGAATACAAAGTCACACACCGAGGTCCCTGCCAAGCACGCTTGTAGTCTGGATCCTTCTGGGATCTCCCGCGGCAACATCCAAGGGAGGCAGGGAACTTCCCTGGCAAGGAGCAGGGGCAGGTGAGGGCTGTGGGCACGGCAGAGGCTCTGCAGTCCCCAAAGCCAGCAGCTGTGCACGCATTTACAGCGAGGTCAATAACTGGGCTCGGGGCTGCTTTTGGGCACAGGGCGGTCTGGCACGTACGGTAAGCACAGCTTTTCTCCAAGTAACCAATTCCTTTGGGAATGACACGAATGGGCAGGCCGGTTAGGGTAACACAGATGAAGAGCTCATTTTGTGTTGGGAAGGAAAAAAACAAACCAAGAGATGAAAGAGGACATTATGTTTTTCATGCAAAATGAAAAGTTTGCTATGTGATTTCATTAACAAAAGACCACGACAATATGTACTCGGGTAAAGAGAACAACTTCTGACCTTGAAATTGCGTGCTAAATAAATTACCTCAGAGCGAAAGTGATGAGTTCTCATGACAGCATCTGGAAGGGAAGCAGAAAGACACACAGGCTCCACCAGCTGCACCTCGCATTTCGCCCCGGCTAACGGGTTCACCCAGCACTCGCCCCTGGGCGCACGCTCCGGGACGGCTCTGGCCCTTCAGGCACAGCCGGCAGCTCCGCCCGGCATTTATATTTAATTCATCGGGAAGAAGTTCGGCATAAAGTTCTGCTGCGCTTTGACCGACCGGGGAGGGCTGGGGGGGCTTCCCAGCCTCTCACCTCTCTCCCTCTAGCCGAGGTTTCGCTGAGGGGATGGGTGGAGACAAGGCTGCCGCAGTCCTGGGCTCGGCTTGAATTTTCTTTGAAGCCTTTGCCCGGCTAAACCGTGCCACGGCGGCCCTCCGCCGGCAGAGAGCTGGGGATGGGCCGGGGACACCCCCCGCCGCCCTCAGGGACCGGCAGCGCCTCTTACCTCGGCTCCTTGAGCGACCTGAAAAGACGGATTTGATGGGATGCCTCCCTTTCTGGAGCCTGCGGTGCCAGCAGCAGAAGAATAAAATCGTGGCAATGGTCCCCAGCAGCAGCAGGAGCAAGAAGAGGGCGCACTGGATGCTGTAGGGTCTCAGCAGGACCAGGAAAGCCGCGGCAATCATGGCTCAAGCGCCCGGCTGCCCCTGTGCGTGCGCGGGTCTGCGGCGAGCGGCGGGGGGCCGGGCAGCGCCGGGCAGCCTCTCCCCCCGGCAGCGGGGCGGGCATCGCCGCCGGCACCGCGCTGCTGGAGCCGGCAGCCGGGCGGGAGGCGGCGGCGCGGGGGAGGAGGAGGAGGAGAAGGAGGAGGAGCGGGATTCAGGAGATTCAGGCCGTGACTCAGCAGCAGCAGCAGCCGCCGGCGCGGCGATGGTGGCGGTGGGGCTGCCCCTCCGAGCCCGCACGGCAGCGGGAGCGCGGCGGGCAGAGCCGGGGCGGCCGCGGGCAGCGGCGGCGGGTGCAGATGAATTTTCTGGGCAAAGAGGGGCGAGCAGCTGAGTCAATAGCTGGGTGTTATCCCAGGAGCTGTCCTGGGAAGCACCGCGGCTCCAGGAGGAGGAGGAGGAGGAGGGAGAGCAGAAGGAAGAAGAAGAAGGTGCCGCTGGCGTCGGGAGGGAGGAAGGAGCACGGAGCGGTGCATCCCGCCGCCGAGGAGATTCGGCGGGTGACATCACCGCTGGAGCTGCCGAGGGCGTCGGAAAATGGCTGCTGCGAGGTACCGGGGGATCCCGGTGGGAAAAGAGGGGCTGCGACCGAGGGGCGCGGGGTGTGGGCCGCCACGCAGGTCCGTGGGAAAGGGGGTCTGTGCGTACCCTGGACCCGAGGTGTCGGTCGAGGCCGGTTTCCTGGCGGGGGAAGGGACTGGGAAACGATACTGAGACCCACCCTGCAAGGTGACCAGGGCCCCGGCCAGGCGCGCTGCTGCCCCGTGTCCCGATGCAGCGGGACGGGCGGCGTGCGCGCTGCCGGCCGTGCCCTTCGCCAAGGAAAGGCGCCGGGGCTGCAGAGCGGCTCCTGCAGGACCCTCGCCCTGCGGGAAGCCGCAAGGCGCTGCAGCCAATGTCAGCCCCGTGCCCTTCCCTCTCCGCCGGGCCGCAGCTGGTGCAGCACCAAAATCCTGCCATGTGCAGGTCGCTAATGCGGATGGTAACACGAGTTCACCTATGCCGCTGTTTCTACCTCTGTAGTTGTTGCTGTGACAGTCCAGACTTGCAGAGACTGTTTCAGAGGCGTTTGGAAATGCAGTTCTAAACTCCCTCACAGACACACAGAAAAAAAAAATTACTAGCTGAAAATATAGCCAGGTACCATTTTGCATTTACTCACGTTACTGGGGGGAAAGCTCCTTCAAGGAAAAACTCATCTGCTTTTCATGTATCGTTGATGTGAGCACATAAATATGTAGAATATCTCCAAAACTTCATAGAAATAATTAAAATATCTGTGTAAATATTGGAAAAATATTGAAAGGTTACTGCTTTATATGACTGGCATATAAAGCATATATGACTGGCATATATAGCTGCAGAAAAGCATACGTGTACATTTAAGTTAAACTAAAAAATATGCAAGCTGGAAAGGCAGAGGGAAATGTATCTGTGGTAGTTTAAATAAGAATTGGGAAAATAATCTCTAGATTAGTAGAATTAATTTATCACTGGGGTAATAACATTGTAATAAGGCAGAGGGAAATGTATCTGTGGTAGTTTAAATAAGAATTGGGAAATAATCTCTAGATTAGAAAAATTAATTTATCACTGGGCTAATAACATTGTAACACTTTACTGTACCCTTAAGGTTAATAACAATGTAACACTTTATTGTACCCTTAAGGTGAAGGAAATCTGTTATCATCGAAAGATGCTCATAATAGCGGGAGAAGAGGTGTAAGATAAAAAAAGAAAAAAAATTGGGATTTGGATCTATGATAATTTATTCCAGGAATTTCATATTGTTTCATTCTCTACATTAAGAGTAAGCCAAAATGGTCTGCCCTATTACTTTGTAAAATGGAAAGTTGCTACATTGCAGCCATGGATTCAAAGCTTTCTCCACTGCCTGGAAACTGCCAAATGCTGTAAGGTTGTGTTGCATCACGTGGTGCAATATTGAAATCTTTCCTAATACCGCAGTACACTGCAGTAGAATGGTTTTAATGCAGATTACCTGGAGATTATTCAAGCAGTCCACGTTACCTCACTGAAACATGAAGGGAATTGGTGTGATCCTCCTGGCATCGTGCTGCAGTGCCATGCTGCAGGATATTGCAGGAGCAGGAAACTTTTTGACACCTTTAGCTCTGCACTGATTTATTGTTTCAGAGTGGGATGATAGAGCAAAAGTAGCACGGCAGTGACTGCATGGTAAATCACAGAGAGCTGAGGGGGAGCAGTTCTTTTCACATTGTTCTCCGGTGTGTAGAAATCATCTGACAGACAAATCTCTAGTGAAAGCTTTTTAGTTTAAGGTTTATAGCTTTTCCCTTCTAAGAGTTAGAGCTCACTGGTGTCTTGAGGATAATGTTTTTCCAAAAGGATATAATAAATTTCATGACAGCTGCTTAATTTTTTTTTTTCAAATGTGAAAGAGAGTACAATTTAGTACAAGAAATGCTGACATGCATGATTTTTCAGAGAGCTGCTGCTCCAGGCTTTTGAGTCAACTATCTCACATGTACACCAAATTGCTGCTCTGGCTTTCTTTATATTCATTACTGCTTTGTGCTTGTTAAGTACTGCAGGGTATGGTAGTATGGTTAGAATATTACTTCCATGTCAAATAAAGTTTAATTTGCTAAAGTTACTACACATTAAAAATAAGCAAATTATATGTGGGTAGATTTTCTTTCCCCAAATAGTAATAAAGAGAATTTAAGAGAAGTTGTATATGTCTCACACATTTAATCTAAGATTCTTTAATTCTTTACAGAATGTTTTTTAGGGGACTTCTCCTAAATCTTAAGAATGATAAACAGAGAAGACAAAAGAAATGAAGAGAGAAGGTTAAAACAAAACCTCTAATCTGAGATTTGACCTCAGAAGGGAAATCCTGGAGGTGAAGCCATTGCAGAGAAGAAGTAAAAGAAGGTAACAAATCCTTGAGACTAACTGTGATAATGGGGAGTGGAACGGGAGGGGAGGTCAGAAGCTGTTGAGAAGTGGAATTAAGTGTTTTATAATCCAAGAAGGCAGTTATTGATTCTGCAATAAGCAAGGGGTCCTGCTGCCATTTCAGAGTACACATAATGTGAGTGCAGTTCTGCAGAGTTGTGAGTAGATGGGATGAGGGTCCTACAGATGCTTGTTTTGATGGGGACCAGAGGCAAACAGAGCAGTGACAAAGTCACTGGCACAGGTGAAGCTTTTGGTGGCAGTGTGGGAAGCTGCCTTTCACTTGAGCAATGCTGAGGGAGGAGGTGGTGATAATTCTTTGGTCAGAGGAATCCAAAAGGGAAGTTCTGTTTCAGAGAACCTACAAAGAAGTGCCCAGCAAACGGAACGGGAGGGGAGGTCAGAAGCTGTTGAGAAGTGGAATTAAGTGTTTTATAATCCAAGAAGGCAGTTATTGATTCTGCAATAAGCAAGGGGTCCTGCTGCCATTTCAGAGTACACATAATGTGAGTGCAGTTCTGCAGAGTTGTGAGTAGATGGGATGAGGGTCCTACAGATGCTTGTTTTGATGGGGACCAGAGGCAAACAGAGCAGTGACAAAGTCACTGGCACAGGTGAAGCTTTTGGTGGCAGTGTGGGAAGCTGCCTTTCACTTGAGCAATGTTGAGGGAGGAGGTGGTGACAATTATTTGGTCAGAGGAGAGGGAAGTTCTGTTTCAGAGAACCTACAGAGAAGAGGTGCCCAGCAAATTGGAAGTGGAAATGCACAGGAGGATGTTTCTGTGGTTGCAGTTACTCTTGAATGCAGTTTACCTGTTTTCCCAAGTTGGTGAGGCAGGGAAACCACGTGGAAATTGTGTCAAACTCCTGCAGTTTAATGTAAGGGTTGAACAGGGAACGTGCTGTAGCAGCAGCAGCCCTCCTGCAGGGAGAAAAGGCAGTGTTGACCTCAAATATTCTTTCAGATGGTCTCTCATGATAGTCTGTTCTGACTTAGCAGTCTTGCCCAGCAAGGATGAAGGAAAAGATCCTTTCTTCCCTTACCCTTGTCCTGCTTGCAGAATTGCAGTACAGTCTCTGGGCCAGTGCATATTCCTTGATAATTTAGGTGATGTTCAGCCACACCTTTTAAAATAAAACTAAAAATTCTAGCTGAGTGCCATAGATTAGGCTGACAGACAAAAAAATATTTGCAAAAAATGTGATGGCATTTTGAGTGGAGAAACCATGTCTTCAGAGGTCTGCTGACCTCCCCCAGTGTGAGCCATGGGATTCAAGGGTAGTTCACAGCTCTGTGAAGGCACCTCTCTGTTTTGGCAGACTGAGGCCTTGTAGACCTCATTTTGCAGCTGTAGAACTCCCTGTGCCAGTGAGCTGAGGGGAAAAAGGTCACATTCTGCATCTCCTGATGTGGACACAGGAATACGAGATGATGCATGAAATGATTTCAGAAGAGTAGCTGAGTGAGTGAAAGGGTAAGATCATCTCTTTCAGGGATATGTAGCTATGCTTTAAGGACTGTGTTTGTACTAATTAATTATAATTGAGTGAAATATTCTGCCTAAATGACTACTTAACTGGTAAGAAGGGTTCTCTAATCATCTAATACTTTCTAACAAAATATTTGGGTTTTTCTTCATCAAACAAGAGCCAAAGTAAACACAGTCAAAACCAAAGAGGCAAGCAAATAAAATACAGAAGACATAGTAACTGAGTGTTATCAACTTCCTTCGATGAAATAATTGACCTTCCCCCTCAATATTCTACTCATAGATTACATAATGCCATCAGTGCTACAGTAGCAGCTTAAACATACCATAGGAAATGTTGTGAGAGTTTCTGGTAGATGATTAAACCTTATAAAACACTTTCTTAGTTGAAAGAATAACATTTGCTGGCTTGATATAGGCAACCCAATTAAAAGAAATCTGTTATGTGAAATGATATGTTCTAAAATCAGCAGGGTTATTACAAATCTTCATTCTGCAAAACTTGCTAAATTGTTTACTCCATACAGTGCTTTGTATGGTTAAAAGGCACACTAACATTAGTTAATTCTCACAAAATCTTTGAAATTAGGTAAATGTGTATTGTTATTTCAGATTCATTGAAAAGAAAAGGTGAACTATAAATTTAAAGGTTGTATGATTTATCCAAGACCAAACTGTGATTCCAGTGCTACAGACTAAACCCCTCTGTGGCTGGAACATTTTGCCATCTGCAGGTGTCTAGGTGACCACGTAAAACCAAATTCTTGTCAGCTTTATGTATGTAGAGGTAACTGTCCTTATTTTGTGGGTTCATCAGCTCAAACGGCTTGCATATTTAAATTCCCTCTGTTTATTAGACTGAATGTAAATCAAATGGAGAATGAGCCATACAGTTGTACACTCATGGCTTATAGTGTTGCTGGAAAAATGCTAGCAGGGATCCTGTAGGCATAAATTGACTTTGTAGACAGAAAGGCTGTTCTTGAGCCTAGATGGAAATACACTGCTGAAGCTCCTATGGCACTTTTTTTTTTTATTATAGCAGTGTGCCCCTTTGTCCTTGGTTGAAATTTGCTCTGTACTCATTTTTGGCAGTGTTTAGAGTAGCAGTTGTCAATCTGTATGTGGCCTTGCATCCCAGAGGGAATTGCACTTCATTAGTGTTTTAACTATATAATTGAAAGTTGTTTAAGGATTGTTTCAGACTGATATTCAACACTGGTCATTCCACTATTATATTACTTCATAAAGTTAGGTTGAACTACGTACAATAAAAAGACATTTAATTTTACAGGAAGAGAAAAAATAGCTCTAGAAAATGTTGAGGTTTTTATCCTTGCAGGAAAGATGCATTGCTGTCAATTCTCTGAAGTGCATGCAGAATTACTCTTAGTTGAAGTAATATTCCCTGGAGTAAGAGGGCAATATATATGTCTCTTTTTCTAGTTCATAACCTTTAATAGCAATACAGATTTTTTTTTTCTCCTCCCACCTACCAAAATGCTGCAAAACCAAAGTAATTGGGGAAGAAAATTGGAGTAAAAGAGCAAGCACTTTGAGTATTAATCAGGCATGACTTCTCTTCTGTGATCACTCACCTATGACAGCCAGTAAAGACCTAGAAGCAGAGATAGTAAAGATGCTAAGTTATTAAATACTGGCTAAAAATTGAGCCTGGAATTTTCTAGCTGCTATTCCACTTCTTTGCTTTTAAGAGTTGAAGGGAGAATGCCATCAACAGTAAGACTTTGGGGTAGAATGAAAGATATAGTTTCTACTACCTTATAAAAAGAGTAAGATGTATCCTCTTATAACCTCTCATATCAGGTATCAGAGGGTTTGTTTGAATAAATCCAATTTGAAAGTATGCCTAATATTTTTTCAGCCTTTTAGGAAAAGTTTGACTGCTTGGGCTCTTGCATGGAACAAATGCACAGTTATTGCACCTCAGCAGAGATTTGCATGTGATCAAACTTTCTCTAATGATCCCATAAATGTCTTTAGACAAGATAAGTGATGCATCACTGTTGTTTAATGTTTATAATTTGGGAGCTGTTAAAATGGATTGCATTGGGTTACCCAAGCCAGGTCATAATGAGCACAACCAAGTGTTTGACTTTACAGAGCCATGCTGTTTCTTATTCCAGGCTACTTATTGCTTCTAAGTGTTTGGATATATTAACCTGCATGGAAAGAGCTTTCTTGGGATTATTCAAACTCCTGTAGCATGGGTATTTAATCCAGTTCAATAAATAGAGATTTATTTCTTGGACTGTATATTAATACATTTTGTTGTGCATGGCATTTACAAACAAGCGAATTGAAGCGAGTATTAGTTCTCCATCTGTCAGCTGTGAAATAGCTATTTAATAAAGATATTAATCTGTCATGTAGAATTAAGATAGCTTCCTGCATCTTACTTGGCATCATGCTACCTTAATATGAATCTTTCACTGAGTGTGGGATTGAAATACAGATAAATAAATCTACGTGGTTTATAGGCATATGAGATATCTAGGCTCCTATTTAAACTCAGGTAAATCATCGAGGCTCAGAGAACAATGCATTTCCCTGAATTTGTGTTTAGTGCCATTTGAAGTGCCTGGAGTTAGTAACCACTATTGTAAGTACAGAAGAGGGTCCAAGCCCTGTGGGACATCTGTTCCATCAGAAGAGGCAGCTGGAGGCCTGGCATGATAACTTATGGTATCTAAGATTGCACCATGCATCTATTTTTAGACCACTGAATTGAACCCTACATTCCATTTTTTTCAACTCTACAGCAGGTGAAAAAAGCTGAATTGCTCTCCAGGAAGCTTTAACTGTGTTGAGTAGGGGCTTCATACTCATGCCTGTTGGAGCTGCTCAAGGCTGGTATCCCTGAAAGGATGACAATTGTGATAAAAAAAACCTGTGGGGGATTTGTACTTCTAGAGTAGCAGCTGCAGGCCAAGCCAATAACAGTGGTGCTGGACACCTGCTTAGAAAGCCAAATTGTCCCCTGCATCTCCAGTGATTACAGCAATAACTTAAGACACCTGGTGCACCAGTGACACCTAAATGTAAGCATCTTAATCTAGAACTGAATCCTGCGCTGAAAGCCCAGTAATGATGCTAGTTTATCTTGAAATCCATTAAAATAAATGCCATGTTTCAATGATAGCTGAAAAAATGATTGGTTAGAACAAAAGTTTAGAACTTCCAGACATACTAAATATACCTGCTTAAAAATTTATTATTCAGCCTTTCCTATCACTCAATTTAACACATAAAATTAATCATTTGATGTGAAAATCAGAGCTTTTCCAATAGATTTCTTCAAGTTTCATTTAAGCCACAGTCCTACAAAGGCCTTTGGCATATTTAGGTATTAATGTTATTTTATAGAACTCCTATATTGCTAAAATATGAGATGAGGGCCCTATTGTGAAAAATGAGAGTGGCTTAATGAATTCCTGGGGTCATTCAACAGATTTTAGAATGTGG